TTCTCGTCCGTTTTGGCGGACGATCCCATTCTGAGCCTCGACCCTCGAACACTTCTCATGTTTGAACATGCATAAGAAAGCTTTGAAGATTAGTAGGAAGGGAGTGAATATTGTGCAAGGTGTGAAACATTAAATCTACTAGAATTTTAATAGTATAAAAATGAGAAGTTTAATATTCCCAACGGCTTTCTATTGGCTCATTTCAGAGCGTGTCATGCGTTCTTTTGTAACTGAGTAAGACCCACTTCACTTCGCTCATTATGAAATTCTAATCTACGATGTTAAGCGGATCTTGCTCAAGCCATCCACGATTCTTCTTGGAAAGCAGTTCCCGGCGATGATAATAATGTGATGACGAGATCAGACGCCATTGGCTCTTGAGCGAACTCGAGCAGAGCATCTAGGGCAAGATGCAAGGGAGCGTCGAACTGGTCTCGCAGTTTAATCTTTCCTTTGACCTTTAACCGTTTCAGACTGACCTTTGTTACAGCGAGCGATTCCTTGCTGGAATGCTTGGGATACCTGGAGTCGGAAGTGGTGGAACAGAGGCGGGTGATCGGGGACGTTTACAGGCAGCTGGACCGGCTCCTGACGGGAGACAAGGCGCAGGTGATCACGGCGAAGAACGTCGTCGTCAACACGGACGTGTCGGTCGAGGGGGAGCTGAAGGTCGAGCGGGTGAAGGAGTCCCCCGAGGCCATGGACGAGGTGGAGACGTCGCCGTTTCGAGATCAGATGGAGAAAGTGCGGCGGCAGGTGAGTCCTTTCGCGGGGGAAACGCGGAGTTTGGGGTTTCGAGGGATCTAATGTCGGGGTGAACGGGAGCAGCTGGAGCTGGTGGAGGAGCAGCTGGGGAGCGATGGGGGGAGGAGCGGAGGGAACGCCACCCGGTTCTTGAGGTTCCAGTCGGGTCGGATTCGGGCGCTGCACGGGGACGTGGAGGTGAACGGGAGGAAGTTCTCGGAGTATGTGAGGTATGGACTGAGGAAGAGCAGGGATCAGAACGTGACGGCGCCGTGGTCCGTTCGGGACTTGGATGCGGGGAGTGTGGGGCTCGTGGGGAGGCTCAACGATGTCCCTCCGCAAGGTCAGACCGGTTTCTTTGGGTTTCGTTTGTTGAAGATCGCCTTGTGTTTCGGGGTGGTAGGGGGGTTGGGGTCTTTTGGAGAAGGGATGTTGACGAAAGAATT